CTCCTCTCTCCTCTCTCTCTCTCTCTCTCGTTGTTGTTGTTGTTACAGCCTCACCCCCTCTCGTAGGAACACGCTTCATGTATCTTTACCTGTTTCTTTACCTCTCCCTCTCTCCCTCTCTCCCTCTTCCTCTTCCCCCCCTCTCTGTGTATGGATTTTTCCCCCCGCCCCGCGGCAGAAAAGCCGTGGTGCAGGTGGCGCATGCAGCGGAGCAAGCCCGTGGTGTTCGCGCTGGACACCGAGTTTCTCAAGACGCACGGTCATGTGCTGACGAGAGCCGTCGCGTTTGTCCCCTTCTCCTCCACAAGCGGCGCCGCCCATGAACCGCAGGCCGATGCCCGCGCCGTGGCGACACGTGCGCCTCTTCCTTCTGCTTCCCCACCGTCGCCGTCGATGCTGAGGCGCCAGACGCTTCGGCGATCCACCGTTTTTGGGGTTCCCATCATTTTGAGCCTCACGCCGGCGGAGGTGATGCGCCGCGCGGACGTGCTTCCCTGCGGCCACTCCCTCGCCGTGGAGTTGCGCACGGCGTTGGCGCATGGGGAACGACTCAGGGCAATTCAGGAGCGACACACACGCCCCGACGCCGAGGCCGCTTTGGGGACAGCGACGGGGGTGACGAGGACGGCACTTGGGGCCGCTCGTGTGTCCCCTACGGCGTTTAACTCGCTCTGCCCCTACAGCATTCCTAACATTCGACGGGCGGATGTTTCCTGGTTTGAGGCCCTCTACTCAGCCGCGGTGCACTCGACGGATTTTCGTGAGGCGACCAGACGCTTAGCTCACCTCAAAGCCTATGGAAAAGGAAGGCGTCAGGAGCGGTCCCTTTCCTTCTTGCTGCGGCAACACCCGGCGCTGCTGCAGGATGTGTTGCGGGAGTCGTTTTCGTCTGCCGAGGCGTGGTGTGCGTGGCTGCGGATGTGCGGAGACTTGGTGGAGCGGGAGCTGCATCGCGTGGCTGAGGAATATCGCCGTTCGTCTGCATCCACCGCCTCCCTCTTCGCGCCGGCCATGGCCATGGAGGGCGGACGGGAACCCGGAGCCGTGCTGTACAAGGAATGCGCGAGCGCAGAGGAGCTGTCGCTTGAGCTGAGTCGTCTTTGGCGTTCCTTGCTGCGCCACGGCGGCGGCACGAAACTCTACACTTACGGCGACATGGACGCGAGAGCCATACAAGACACGCTGCGACTCGGCTGCTGCGTGCCGGCGCGCCCCAGCCTTGACGCGGACCAGCTTCTCGCCTCCCCCTACGAGGCGAAGGTCGTGGACGTCACGCGGCACACGCTCTTCGCCGCCTCTGGGTTTCGTGCGTCGCCGAGGGTCATCCCGAGGTTGGGCGACGCCCTGGAAAAGGCGGCGGCCATTGACGAGGCCGCGGCCCGCCTGCTCGCCCAGAGCGATCCCCACAACCCCGTTTGGGACGCGAAGGCCCTCGCGTGCATCGCGGTTGCCTCTGGAATTTGTCGGTGGTGACGCTCTTCGCCCGCTCTGGCGGCGGGCCGGGGGGGGGGGGGGGGGGGGGGGG